AACATGAATGCAATAATGAGTGAAGGCTCCTTCTTTGGAAATACGGCAGAGACTGTCCCAGCGCAACCATGGAACAAACGGATGCTGCATACAACGAATATAAAGCGTTTTACGCTACATGCCATCAGGACACGACGACAGACTGCTACGCAGAATTCCTCAAAACACTAGACAAGCAAGGTAAGTAACACACGCATATTGGGAGGATAGAGGAACAACGGGGAGAAGAGTTTGAATACTGTTACTGGTTTTGTGCTATATTGCAAGAGAGAGAGAGGCAGTTGGGCGTGGTACCACTGCAAAGCGCTAGTTGGGCCAGAGCTGGAATGCATTACAATTGCGCAGGAGGAGGAGCATAGAATAAGAATAGAGTTTAGTAAATGGCAGAGCTGGATTGTAGCAGAGCTAGATTACTATTATATAGAGAATAGTTTGAATGCATTACCACACACGTCTCGGGAGGAGCAACGGGGGTTCATAGAATAGCTATGGAGAGGGTAGTCGAAATGCGTTGCTGCGCGTTTGTTTGACCCCTCATTCTGATATTTTCGCCATATTCATTATATCTCTTCCTACATATATTCATACGTCGTGGAAATTTGTTGATATGTATTTTCTGTACTTTGCGTGACATCCGCTTACTCACCCATCTATTCATACTCGTGTCCCTCCACAGTCGTTGGTGAGTAACCTTCTTCGCAATGTATCTTCACAAAATTTATGTCACTATTCATTAGCTCTCATTGCAGATGCTAACTAATGATTTGTCTATCTCATATCTTTGGTGATCCTATACACTTTTAGAACCAATATTGGATTTCAAATATGATGAGAAGCAATATGTTGCCGTCAAGAAAGCATTTTCGGACTCGGAGTACTGCAATTTTTATGGTGTTGCCAAAGCGTTCTGCCAACACGTTGACAAAAACATGAAGAAGTGGGACTCAGCAGAGTACTACTCACCATACTGTGCCCTGGTACAAGCTTCAGCCTTTGGTAAGCCTCGACTGATGGTAGAGGTCAGGAAAACCTTACCAGTTTCATACGTTTGTCTTCGCAACGAATATAGTGGTGGATATCCACCTCATTGTCCAGTTGCTGATATCTTGACTGAAGAGAGAAGGCTTGATGATGGAACTGGATGAAATGCTGACATGGTCAAAGTATATGTTGCATAGTATTTGAGTGCATTCAGTCCTTTTCCCACAAAACTGAAGGATGCACCAAATTAGCAGAACACTGGATCCAAAAACAGATTTCCAAAGAATTATGGATTTCTGGAAGAATGTTGAATACAGAATGTCTGATATTATGTGTGGGCTTATGAAGAATCCTACAGACAGCAAGATGACTGAATGGGTCACTAACTACTTGGATGGTGGAAAATTGATGATGTGGGAAAGTTCAGTTAATTGTTTGTTTGCCTTTGATGAAGCTCGTTCCCTGGTTGATAAGAACATTGAAAGGAAAACTCTGTTTTACTATGTTCAATGTGCTTTAAAACTTTTACCAAAAAAGTTAGGAATCTTTGCTATCTTTACAGACACACATTCAAATATTTCAAACTTCTCACCTGTTTCCTACCTTGATCCATCCATAAGAGTTGCTGTGAAGGGGTCTAAATTATTTGAGCCATTTTATTTGTTGGACACTGTGGATATGAATACTATGAATACTGCTTTTGAAAAAGCACTGACACTACAAGAGTCTGAAGATCCAAGCCATACAGCCCTAGTATTTTGGATGCTAAGAAGGAAAAAAGCCCACCAATAATCAATATTTAATATATAGTAATAGAGGTAACCCTATATTAATCATGTTATGGTTTATAATTATCCCATTTTTGGTATAATAAAGTGAGCATTAAATTTATCAAGTCATAAGTTATCATTATTATATACAAGCACCATTTTATGTTCAAAATGTTACTAGTCAAATTAGTTAACTTTCAGCCACATCAGCCTCACATAACAGAATGTTCACTTTGT